CTCAGTGTTCCAGAGGGAACATGGTTCTCTAGAGAAGCAGCAGTTAAACTAACGGAATAATAAATATAGAGGGGGATGACGACACAAGCTAACAGTGTGCTAACAGAGAAACCAGGAATAAACCCGCTGTTAGCGTCTCACCGCTCCGTTCGCCTCTGTCTTCGTCAGCGGGTCGTACGTGATCGTCCGTAGATTTACCGTGAAGTCACATTCTTAGTCTTTTAATCGCTGAAGCAGAAAAGGACGTAATTCTCCCGCCTGCTAGCAAAACAACCGTTAGCTTCAGCGGCGGCTGCGTTGCCATGGAGCCCGACGGGTCACAGCGAGGGACAAAAGAGACGCGGGAGGAAGGCGAAACCAAAATAACAATGTGAGCTGATGAAAATGTGGAAACAGAAATGAACCAGAGTCGCAGACCTGAGGTGTCATTCCTCAAACTCAGATCACCAGTGAGCCTATTTCTACAGACCGTTTTTTCCCTGACTCATTCAATGGTCACTGTGACCATTTTCTTTGTCTCATCGATGTCAACAAGCAGCAACGTCTCTGTCCTGAACTCAACGAGAGACAAACTCCCAGAGACACTTTCTGAGCAGCAACTGAAGCTCAGAGTCACGTGAGGGACGATCTGTCTCCAGGACACGGGGACAATAGATACTGATGAACCTGAACACAACAGGATTTACTACATTGATGAGAAACATAATCACTTTATCTTTGAGWTCGAACAACTGATCAAACATTCCCTCGAGTCCCTTCAAGTGGACAAACACGTTTTATTACGCCACCGTGACTTTGACTTCAGTGAAAAACCTTCCTCACATTCTACATCAGTGAGATCAGCTGTGTCTCGTCTCTTTGTGATGACACATGTTCTTCCTGCTCTGCTGTATATTGAGCAGCGGATTCTGCTAAATAGAGAAACAGGACTTAAGAGAATTTGTTCATGGGTCCACAGATTCCGTTTATAATAAAAAAACAGGCACACAGAGAAACAGAGGACAGGCTCATCAACTGCATGTACTTTATTGAGCCAAATGTGGATTTTTCAAAACAGACTCGCTCCCTCRTCACCATCAGTCATAGGAGCACAGTGTGACCTGGCCATGGCTTTAAATTTAACTGCATTACTACATACTAACCGTTATTTATACATTATTGCAATATGAAATGAAAGATTGAAGTGTGAGTAACCACAGGTTTGGTGAGTTTCTTTCTYGGACCAAACGAGAAAGCTGGTCATACATCAGAGTAGGAAACTTCATTTACCAGTTAATTCAAAATGACTCATTGAAACCCCCTTTAAATTATGTTTCCCAAAGATCACCAGCATCAACTTCTGTTCCCACTCTAGAGGGTTCATGTGATCACATAGTGAACTGACGCAGCTTCCACACAGGACTCGCTCTGACCTAATTATGACCAGAGAACATCCACGTAGTTTGAAACTTGCATTAGCAGGAGAATAACGAAACAAGTAATTCAATTAAAAACATTTGATGCTGGAGACAGTCAGCTCTTGACAGGACCTCTGCTCTCTAACCTGTGAGCAGGCAGCGAGACATAACAGCAATGAGATGTTGAGAAAAAAAACAAGACTGACAAATCATGCAGACAAACCCCCCCCCCCCC